GTTGCCGGTCCTGGTCCGGTACGGGCGCGACACTGAGGGTTGCAATCCGTTGCCGGACACGAAAAAAGACAAAAAGGAAAAAAAAAATCCCCTTACCGGTCATCTTTAAAAAAAAAAAAAAAAAGAATTGTTGAAACCAATCTTCCAGCCTGTGCATCAGGAAGCTGGCTATCACAAGCCTCCAGGGGGCTCCACCTGTTCATTCTCACAATTGCACAGAAAAGCAGACTGAGTGTACACGCCCAGTTTGAGTTTGCTCTATGTGTGCACACACATGGTGTAAGCATCTAGTGCTTATATCCCTTTTTTTGGTGGTGGGGAGGCTGGCCAGTAGGGCATCTGAACCCTTGACCTTGGTGTTATAACACTGAGCTCTGACCAGCTGAGCTAACCGGCCAGCCTCCCATTTGTAAAGTTTTCTGCTACCTCCAAAAGGGACATCAAAGACTATTATTCAAGGGCCGGCCCATGGCTCACTTGGGAGACCGTGGTGCTGACAACACCAAGGCCACCAGTTCGGATCCCTATATAGGGATGGCCAGTTAGCTCACTTGGGAGACCGTGGTGCTGACAACACCAAGGCCACCAGTTCGGATCCCTATATAGGGATGGCCAGTTAGCTCACTTGGGAGACCGTGGTGCTGACAACACCAAGGCCACCAGTTCGGATCCCTATATAGGGATGGCCAGTTAGCTCACTTGGGAGACCGTGGTGCTGACAACACCAAGTCAAGGGTTAGGATCCCCTTACAAGTCATCTTTTTTACAGGTCAAAAAAAAAAAAAAAAAAAAAAGACTATTATTCTGTGACCTCAAAGGCTACTTCTCAACTGGAAAAGCCCTTTGAGAACAGAGAATTTGGAATTAGATCAGAGAAGGTAGGGCTTTCTTCCTGCTGTCTTGCTGTGGGACTCCTCACTGTGCACTGAGGGGAGGGTATGGAGCATAAACAGAATGAAGGGCTGGGCAAAAGAATTGTTTGAAATGCTGTCTTTTCCCATGAGATTTGAGTTTTGTGACTAAGATACTTTTTTTATATGAAGCCCCCATTATATAGAGCACAGCTTTCAGGTCTAGCCATCTAAACCCCAGGAAAGGGAAAATATAATGTGATACTTAAGCAAAGGACATGATGAAGAAAGAAAGGATTATCTGAGTCCTCATTCATCCTACCCCTTGCAGAAAGAGGGAGGGGACAGTTGGTGGGGAGAAAACTTTAGATTAGATATGCATCTAAAACTTTTGAAGAGAGAGTTGGGGGTGATAAAAGTAATACTTCTAGTCTTTGACCTGCAGATTTTTTGTTAAATTTATTTATTTATATTTTTAACACATTTTTTACAGAGTACCTGTTGGTACCTGACTCTCTGAGCTGGTACCAGCTAGCGAGGAGTGAATGAGAAAAAGCCCCTGCTCTCAAACAAATCAGTCCCCTGCTGTTCCCTAGGCCTGCACATTGAGAATCCTATGGCCTCTCACAACCTCTGCCAATAGCAACTTTGCCCCTCTGGCCAGTATTCCCTTTGCCACATGGATTGTGAGCTCCTTGGTTCCAGGCGCTCTGTCTCATTCAGCTCTATTCCCTGTGCCTAACACACTGCCTGGCACACAGGAGGTGTTCAAAACAAATGAATGAATGTTCTTATCAAGAATTCTTAGTAATTGAAGCACAGATAATGTGGCAAGTAGGCAGACTAGATATCCTAATCCCATGCAACTGGTCTGGTAAATGTTATACTTCCTAGACATGTTAATAACAGTTATTTCCTTTTCTTCTTTCCTTTTGGAAACAGCACCAGTGGTTCTGACAGCTCCCTCTCAGATGGTCTCCCTGCTCACCTACTGAACATGGCAGAGGAGGTGAGACTGTGTTGACTCTTACACACCCAGGAAGTAAAAGCCTTTTAAAAGTCATGACATTACTAGATAATTTGGTGGAATTTTCCAATGTCCTAAGATTTACAGAAAATATAGCAATAGTGTCCCAATTGTTCACCCAATAGACCTTGCCCTGGAGTCTTTCATTTTGTCCTTCATAACTTTATTGCTTAATTATTACAGCCACCTCATAGTAACAACCAGACTGAATCTTTTAACCACACATCTAATGATCTGTATTATCTGGACCTAACGCTACATAAGTAATCTGATTTCACATTGTAAATCACAGATATTTGGTTATTGGTATAGATATCCCTTTAGCCATGTATCCAACATAGTGGGATTTGGGAGTATTAAGTAGGGAGCAGCCTCTGGTGAGGAGGTAAGTGAATTGTTCACTCATTTTCCAAACCAACACTGTGAAGGCCTGCATATTGGGTTAGCCTTTGTGTCATGAGTGTTGTGTAAAAAGAGTATTATGTGGGGGGGTGTGACTCTGGAATCCTCAGTGACCAGTTTTTCTGAACTTTCTGGAACAGTTGAATGAGAAGAAGATATTTAAGAAGAAAAAAAAGAAGCCACTTCAGACTAGGAAACAGCGAAACAAGCGGTATCAGAAAAGTAACTCAATGCAGGAGTTAAAGATAACAGAAGATGCCCCAGTAAGAAAGCCCTGCTGCCTACTTCTACTGTCTGGTTACAGAGGATTCCGTACAGGGAGCAGGAAAAGGAGTTGAAGTTTACACTAAACAGAAAGGGGATGAGGTCTGGGGCAGGGGAAGCTTTCTGTTTTGAGATCAGAGCTCTTCCATGAGTCCTCTGAGCAGGTTTCAGCTTCAGTCTGCTCATCCTTTCCTACGCTCTGGCACGGGAAGTCGGTTTTGACCAAGTCTGGATTTCTAGAGGAAAGAAGTGGTGCTGGAAAAGTGGAGGTTGGAGCTAGTGGGGGTGGCTGAGGGACCAGCCCTGGTCCAGGCTGAGGATATCTGGATAGCTCTTCTCAATCTTTCTCTGCACTGCCACACTCACACCATACCCTCTGCTTTCTAAAGACAAAAATACTTTCAGAGATGAGGGTTTTGCTTTTGGGTGAAATGGGTCAGTTATGAATGGATTAATTGAAAAAGACTCTTTTCACTCATTCCTTCTAGGAAACAGCAGGATTTGCTTCTACTCTGAAAAAGCAGCCTACCTTTTTCAAAAATTTGGAGAATTCCACTTCTTCAGCAATGAAAAATGAAAAACCAAGGTTGAATGAGGTAGTATTTTTGCTTGACTCTTTGTCATACAGACTGTCTGATTTCTTCAACTAGCATGCCTTCACTCCCACAGGGTGAAGAATGAAGTAGCCATTTATGTCACCCTTACTTGTCAGTGCCACTGGGAGCAGGGGAATATTAAGATTGGGGGAGACACTGGCACTGCTTTGAATTAGACACCACTGAAGTCTGACATCAAATACTGGTGACTTGTGGTTTTAGGATGCTTGACCATCCATTCTTCCATCTATCCACCCAATCAACAAATTCTATCGAATACCTACCACATTCCAGGCCCTTTACTGGATGCCGGGAATGCAACATTGAACAAAATTCTCTCCCTGCCTCAGGGACTTTAGAGTCTGTTGGGGATCTAAACAGTAAGCAGGAAATTACATGACAGAGTAGAATACAGTGGCAACACAAAGGAGAGGCACCCAACCAAGTTTTTAGAGTTTGGTGGCTATAAGATCCTGATTCTTTTATTTATAATAGTAGGTATTAAAAAATAGGTTTTGGGGGTGGCCAGTGAGCTCCATGGGTTAGAGCATGGTGCTGATAACACCAGGATCAAGGGTTTGGACCCCCTTACTGGCCAGCCACCAGAAAAACCCCCAAAATAGAGTTTGGTACAATACTCACGGTAGCTAATTCTTAGTGGATAGGGTGCTAACGGGGCCCTCCTTGTGTGGAATGCTACCCTATGGTTAACAGTGATGTAATGAGGTCTCACTGTGCTACACTGGGGAACCCCCACAGAGCACAGACGTCCTCATTCAATATTGAGAGCCATTGGTGCCTACTCTAACAGTGGCTAGAGCACAAGCTTTGAAGTCTGTCTTGAGTTCAAATTCCAGCCCCTCTATTTTACATTCCGTGAGTTAATGACCCATCCTGGGACTTAGATTCTGCATCTGAAATACTGGGGTGACTATATCTTCATCCAAAGGTTTCTGTGAGAATTACATGTGAAACTGTGTAAAGTATCTGGCATATGGTAGGCACTCATTCAATGTTAGGCCCCTTTCCTTTTTTTTCTTTGAATTGTTATTTGTTTGTGTCTTGCTTCTCTTTTTGTATTAGAGTATCATAAGAAATCAACATGCATGAATAAAAAGCACATAGACAATCCATATTCAATATAATCACTCTTACTCAAATGGAAAATTTAGTGAGGGTATGTTCATTTATTTTAGACACAGTTAAATGGAAGAGACAAAGGCACCTCCCTGGACTCACCAATGACCACCCTGATTCTGACTAAGAGTAAAGAGAAAATGCAGGTACTTCACCTAATATATGTGCATGTATGCCAGCAATTCATTTTAATTAGTTTTCAAAGGTATTGTGTGATTTGGAGGGGTGGTAATCTGCAGTTCACACAGTTTTGCCTTCTCAGATTTGTTCTGCTCGGGTGCACATCTAAGGCAGTTTGCACCCTCAGGCTATAAACTACCTGGCCACCCTGGGCACAGCCCACAAGGTACTGCAGGACCAGAGGAAGCCTACCCAGTGTTAAAAGCTTGCCATTGAGAATTTAATTTTTTTTCAACAAACACTTGTTAGGCAGCCATTATTTTGTAAGTCCATGGTAACATGTCAGGTAAAACAGTGATAGTGAATAATGCAGCTGTTCTCAACCTTAGATGTTAACAACACATGGCGTGTTGCCATCAGATGTGAGGTGTGCCCCACATCCAGTGTTACCACTGATCATTCAATATTGAGGTCTACGAATGATTTGCTTTTTTTTTTTTAAAGATGACCGATAAGGGAATCTTAGCTCTTGACCTGGTGGTGTCAGCACCGAGTGAGCCACGGGCCGGCCCTAATGATTTGCTTCTTTAAAAGAATGTTACAATGAGTTCATATTTATCCCTGTAACGTCTCCCATGCTCATTCGCTCTTGCATATTCTTTCCCGTGAGGGAGGAAGAAGAGGTGGAGAAACAGCTAGTAAGCTGTTGTTTCAAATAGCTCTGGACACGTCTATGGGATAGTGTTGCTCAGATGCGTCTGGGTGGAGCAAAGGAGGAGAATCACTGGGTTAATTTAGGTGTACTAGATATAGAATGGACAGTTCTCCCGAGGTGAGGTCCTGGCTGGCTTCTCTAGTCTAGTGCTTGGGAATTCTTGGGCCGATACTCTTACTTATCTGTCACTGTTTTCTGGTGAACTTACTATGTACGTAGCCTTTAAAGAACTGTAAAGACAAGATCCTCTCGGAAGCATGACAAGACAGTCACCATGGTAGGACAGAAACTGAAGAGCGATGGAAAGAGAGGTTTAAATAAAGTCAAAGCAAAGAGGGTTTTGGTCCTGACAGACTGATAAGTGTTGAACTTGCCCTCTTTCTTCATTCAGCATTTTGCACACGGTCTATGAGTAACTAAAACCGTATCCCACAACTGAAACATGCTGTTTAGGCTGTAATATGTAACCATGGACTCGGTTAAATCCAATATAGTGGATCAGTGCCATATAAACCTTGACCTTTACCTCATTTTCTTAAAATTTCAAGTGTAATATTTCTCTGACAGAGGTGTGGACATTTAACTCCCGTAGCATGTCAGGTAAACAGAGTTGAAAAACTGGGGCAGTATCCCACCTTGAAAGTTCTCTTCCTTTATGTAATGTTTCTAGACAGCTTATAAAATGTAGTCCCTCTGTTTCTCAGGGCAATTAAAATGTTGCCCTTGGACCATGGTCTGACTACCTGAGGGACTAGGACAAATGCTCAATTTACCTCTGCCCTGTAACAATGTCAAATACTTTGGTATTTGGGGAGAAAATGCAAATACTTCTCACTAACTCCTTGTAGAGTCAACCCCAACCCTAACTATAACTTTAGAAATTACAAGGGCTGGTCTGTTAGCTCAGTTGGTTAGAGCACAGTGTTTTAACACCAAGGTCAAGGGTTCGAATCCCTGTACTGGCTAGCTGCCCCCAAATAAAAAACTTTAGAAATTACAGCATAAAGTGAATTTGGCTTTTTTATCTTGTTTGCACAGAGTAAGAAGCCAGGCTTTACAATATCATGCTCTCCAAAGAGAAGCACAAATTCCAGCCAAGATCCAGCCTCAGGTATGAAGCCAAACTGGCCTAGGAACAGATATCCTGCGACAAAGAGAGGCTGTGCCACCATGGTGCCATACCCGCCCCTGCACATATGCACGTACCCGTAGGTGTGCCTGGGCCACACCACGCAGGCACTTCCTCGGGGTGGAATCCAAAAGCCACATTTTGAGATGGTGGGGAGATGTATGACGGGGAGCTACATTCACTTGTGTTGTCCCATGTTGTGCATTCGTCATGCATTGACCTCACACTTTGTACTTATACTGTGTGCATGTCCTCAAGATGCATACCTCATACATTCAGTTATTTTTTCATAAAGTGAAATTTTATTATGATGTATCGAAAAGCTTCCTTTATCAGAAACTGAAGTGTGTGCTCATGGAACTACAGCACAGACATACCTCATTTTAACCAGTATTCTCTCTGAAATTATGTGTGAATGGGTTTTAAAAGATCAAACTCTGTTTTAAACATATTGTGGGACTGTGCTATATAAAAAAAAAGTCTGTGTCAAAGCTTTCTAGTTATGAGTGATCAGTCAGACTGTTGTATATCAGGTTTTCTCAGTGAGGTATTCCCATATAGAGATAACAATTCATGTATTACCCAGAATTTAATGTTGTGTATATTATGTTCAACAAGGTTATGGAAATTTTTTTTGATGATTAAAATTCTTTCTCTCTAATCAATTGTTTCCTTTCATTGGTTAACTGCATAATCTTATGTGAACAGTTTGTTTGTTTGTTTGTTTGTTTGTGACCAGTCTGTATTGAACAGATATTTTATGTTGGCTGTTTCTTTCTCTTTCTCTCTAATCAATTGTTTCCTTTCATTGGTTAACTGCATAATCTTATGTGAACAGTTTTTTTGTTTGTTTGTTTGTTTGTGACCAGTCTGTATTGAACAGATATTTTATGTTGGCTGTTTCTTTCCCATAGTATCCTCATGAGCACCAAGCACAACCTGCCGGCTGCAGCATGTTATGTCAACATGCTGAAGTCATGTTAAAGAAGTGTCACTCCAGCTCATGCCAGGCCCCCTATGTTAACTTTACCTTTTTCCTATCACATTGGATTGAAAATTTTCTAGCATTTTTTTCATTATCACTTTTAAACTTTCACCCACTACCACTGCCTGGGTGACTAGTGATTAGAACAACATGGCAACACAGATTTTATTACAATCCTAGTGTGTGTGTTTTGTTTTATTTTATTTATTTATTTATTTATTTTTGTGACCGGTAAGGGGATTGCAACCCTTGGCTTGGTGTTGCCCGCACCGCGCTCAGCCAGTGAGCGCACCGGCCATCCCTATATAGGATCCCAACCTGTGGCGGGAGCGCCACTGCACTCCCAGCGCCGCACTCTCCCGAGTGAGCCATGGGGTCGGCCCCAGTGTGTGTGTTTTAATTCTTAGAGCAGTTTTGGATTTACAGAGAAATTGAGCAGATAGTACAGAGTTCCCATATACAGTAACCTCCACACAACTCCCCCGCCGCCAACACTGCCTGAGTTTTTTTTAAAGGGAATAATATCTTCCCATGCTCTTTACATAGGGAGTTTGCAAATGGCCTTGTCCTATGCCACATCTTACTCACATCCTAAAAGGATTATTAGCATTTTAAGTATCTAGAAAGCTCCAGCCGAAACCACACTATTTGTCCCTAAAAGGATATCCTTAAAGGACAAATCCCAAAGCCATTATAAACTGCTGAAGGCAAACTTTATTTGAAAATTATTCAGAAATACTTGTTTTTGCTATGAATAATTTTGGAGAAAGTTTATAAAAAGCACCTCAATATGTTGATAATATTTTTGGAATAAAAAGTCAGAATACTGTACATGATTAGTTTTTTGTTTGTTTTTTAATTTATTTATTGAATCAAAATTGATTATACATATTTTTGGGGATCAACATTGAGATATGTGGATCAAATCAATATTACTGGCATATATATTGTTATAAATTTTGTTATTGTTATAAATTGTTATTCTTAATGCCCCTTGTCCAATCTCTCCCCATCCCCCCTCCTTCCTCCCTCCCCCCTCTAATTACCCTAGATTTCTTCTCTCCTTCTGAAAGGATAATGGTTACTCTGTTGGTTTGTTGCCTGGATGACCTGTCCAATGCTGGGAGGTGTGTTCAGGTCCCCCAGTATTATCATAGAGCAGATGCTTCTTCTGTCACTCTGAAATGGGCTTTGTGGAGAGAGGCATCCTCTTCTTTTCTTTATCAATGCTGGTGACTCTCCTTGTGTCAATGCACTACAGTGGTTGGTGGACCATCTGCATGGTGGTTGTGGCATCTAGCCGCTTTTGCAGCAACCATGGTTATTGTGGTAACTATGGTGGGCCAAACACATGGAGGTAATGTTTTTGGCATGCTCCTTGTCACTGGCGGTGTGCCTGGTTGTGGGGTGTGTCTGGTCCCTGGCTCCATGCTTCAGGTCCCTGGGTGGGCCCTGAGGTGCTGGAGCAGTGTGCCTTGTTGTGGGAGGGGAGGGTCAGTCCCCTTATCCATGCCTTGGGTCCCCGGGCAGGCCCTGAGGCACTGGTGCAGTGTGCCTGGTTGTGGGAAGGGCATCCGGTCCACTTCTCCATGACTCAGGTTCCTGGGTGGGCCCCGAGGTGCTGGCAGTGTGCCTGGATGTGAGAGTGATGTCCAGTCACCTTCTCAATGCCTCAGGCCCAGATAAGAGTTTCTATACAACCCAGATCCACCAGGTCTCTGGAGAACTGGAAGTACCTATAATGCAGTTCTGCATTCCTGACCAGTCTCCTCTGAGTGGTCCTGCACTGATTGAGGGGTGGGTCAGCTGTCCTTACTGTGCCCCAGTATTCTCCCAGTGGGCCCATTTCCCCCACTACCTGTGCTCCAAACACCAATACACACACACACACACACACACACGCAAATTTTCCTCCTTGGATTAGGAAGAAGTGCCCACAGGAAATTTACGTACTGTAGCTTCTAGAAGCCAGTGTGCTTTTGGTAGGAGGCTTGAAGGGGTAACTCTGGCTAGAAATGGCAAATTAAGGTAATTCATTCTAACTGCCTGAACAGTATAAATCAATATCATGTTGCTGGAGAAATAACCTGAAGTCTCTTGATCACTAAGCGTGAACAGTGAGAATAGAATGAAAGAGAAGTAGAAATGGGCCGGCCCGTGGCTCACTCAGGAGAGTGCGGTGCTGGTAACACCAAGGCCACGGGTTCAGGTCCTGTGTAGGGATGGCCGGTTAGCTCACTTGGGAGAGCGTGGTGCTGAAAACACCAAGTCAAGGGTTGAGATCCCTTTACTGGTCATCTTTTAAAAAAAAAAAAGAGAGAGAGAAGTAGAAAAATAGCATTTTAATCAGGTCAGAGGGTAGATAAGATCAACTTTACATTCAATAGTTGTTGACAAAGTTTAAGGATATGGGAGAACAATGAATGTACTTTATACTTTGTTTTTTGTTGTTGTTTTGTTTATAAACTAAATGCATAGTCACTAATAGAAGTGACTATTTGAGACTCAAAATCGATTTCAGGGGGCTGGCTGGTTAGCTCAGTTGGTTAGATTGCCACCTTGTAATACCAAGGTCAAGGATGTGGATTTTCTTCACCTGAATGCTGCCTTATCAACTAAAAATCTCAGCCAGCTGCCAAAAAGAAAAAATGGAACTCAGGTGAACAAGTTTTCTTGAGAAGCCTTACTTTTTTGGACCATGTGGCCTAACGGAGGCCCTATTACCATCTGGTGGCAGTATACCCTTTTTGATTTTTGCAGAGGTGACAACACCTTTTAAAAGTGATATAAACAAATTTAAACAGGTAAGGTTATGACAGTAAGCATTACTATTAACAACTTTTTGGTGGAACATTTAATATAGGAACTCAGTATGGACACAGAGATTCTTTGAGAATAAACATTTTAGATATTTTTTCCCATTTGTCATTAAAAGTTGCAAGAATTTTGGATATCTACTGGGTACCTGACCACTCTGAAACTACCTTTGGTCTTTGGCTGTAGATAAGTGTAAAGCTAGGTGACTACACCGATTGTCGGGTGATATAGCAATAGCTACACTAAAGGCAAAACATTTCATTATTTTCGTTATACTGTTTCCATTTGTATTGTCAGGGCTAGGGCTCAGACCCTTCAAACCCATTGTACAGACTGGGTCACCAGACCACTCACATGCCAGACTGGGTCACCAGACCTCTCACACGCAGGTCCAAGCTAGGTAATTAGGAAAGTTCCCAGGAGCCATTGGCAGACAACACGAGCTCAGTCCGCAGCAGCAGCAGCAGCTTACAGTAGCCTCCAGCAGCAGCGAGGGCGGCCTCTCGGAGGGTCCCAGGAGTACTGGCAGCAACAGCCTCCAGCAGCAGTACGGCCTCCCTGTGGTGGCAGCATCTCAGGGGCACTGGCAGCAACAGCTTGCAGCATCAGCCTCTGGCAGTAGCAGCTTCCCCGTGGCCCCCCCTCCGGGGACATGGGGGGGGGCAGGGATCAGAGCCACTCATCCTTTATACTTAAGTCATAACCCAGGACACCTGGGTGCACATGCATACTTACATTAGACAATAACCAAGGAACACCAGGGCCCATGTGCCTATTTACATCAAATGCTCAGCAAGATTCTGAACATCTGAGGGACCCTGACCATTTTCCTTCACTTTCCCTACAATGTGTCATCACCAAATTCGATGATAGATATTGGCCGAAATGCCACACACTATGTTTTGCAGAAATAGAACTGCTAACTTCTGGTTTTCCAGGCTGTCCTCAGACTAATTCTGGTTTAATTACCTAGAAGAGGAGTTGGCTGATTAGCTCAGTTGATTAGAGTGCAATCCTTGTACCAGCCAGCTGCCCAAAAAAGATTATCTAGAAGAAATACAAAGCCTATTCTGTCCTTTAAACTACAAACTGCATAGCTTGGCTAGATTTGGTTGAACTAATTTCTGTCCATTTCTTAGTGGAATATTCCTGGGCAGGATTAGCTCATCTCTGTTAATGCTCACCAAGGTCCAACATCTTTTTCCCCTTTTCTTCACCTGGAAGCTGCCATATCAACTAAAAATCTCAGTATTTATTTTCCCCATAAGGTGGCTTCCATCTTGGCTGTGCAGCTAAGTCTTATGGTCTATGAAAAACAAGATTCTTTGTGAGATTGATGTCAGAGGAGAGGGTCTGGGAAGCCCAAAAGTCAGCCTCAGCCCATCCAGTCCTCTTACCAGGTTCTTGACTCCTACACAGCAAAGAATTCAAGAGCAGAGTCACAGTGGAAAGTGAGAACAGGTTTAATGTAACAAATAGAAGATACAGACTTCACAGAGAGAGTGCCACCTAGCTCCAGAGACTGGGCAGGGCCCACACCAAGTTTAATACAGAAGTAAGAAATGCACACACTTAAAGTCAGTACAGAGTGCAGCCTGGCTCAACAGAGTGAGCAGCCACCTGCTAAAAGTAAGTTTGATACAAAGTAAAGCACACACACCTCAGCCAGTGAAGTATGAGTTGGCCTCAGGACAGTGGGCGACAACCTTGCCTTCTGCTGGGATTAAGCTTTTATAGTTTTGCTGTCTAATACATATTCATGATAACGAATGAATATTCAGTTAAGGGGGTGGTTCCCTGTTTTGTAACAGTCTTGCACATGCTCAGTTGGTCTCTTTTTGGAGCATGTTCCTTGGTCAAATCCTATCACATGTACTGAACGTATTCAAGAATATTCTGTGCTCTTTAACACCTCTAGTGGAAGGTCATTCAAAGGACTAATTCCACTATACTGAGCATGCTTAGCTACCAGGGTTATCTAACCCTTCTCTACTGAGCATGCCCAGCCACTGGATTTGCATAAGCCAGCCCCTGGGTCTCAATTTCTCCTGTTGGTGCAAAAAATAGGTCTAACTAGCAACAGTAACTTTTCTCTAGGGCAGGTCTTAGAGAAGAGGCTTGAGACCTTGGGGAATGGCTTGAAACCCAGAGGTATGTCCTGAAATCTGAACTCAGGGAAACTGAGCGTCCCCTATCTCAAAATCAGGTTCAGAAAGGCAGTGGGTTTTTTTTTTTTTTGTGACCGGTAAGGGGATCGGAACCCTTGGCTTGGTGTCGCCCGCACCGCGCACAGCCTGTGAGCGCACCGGCCATCCCTATATAGGGTCGGAACCCGCGGCCTCGGTGCTCCCAGCGCCGCACTCTCCCAAGTGAGCCATGGGTTCAGCCCAGAAAGGCAGTGTTTTAATGAGTATTTTTACTGACAAAGCTCTAGTGACAAAGTACACACCACATTTCCCGAGTAATACTTGCTTAATAAAGACCAAAATAAATGAAGATCCCTAAGAATATATAAAAGAAATAATGCTTCTTGAAAACTCTGACTCCTTGCCAACATTTCTACCCTAAAATATGGGCTATTCCCACAATTCATCAATCAAAAATAATTCACTGATCAGTGACTGACTTAGAAGCTATGGAAAATGCAATGCTGTGTAAGACTTCATAACTGCCCCTGTGCTTAAAATCCAAGAGGAGAACAAAGATTAGTAGACAAAACAAAGCAGTTAGGCATTTTGCTAGCTTCAGAACATGGTAGGGATAAAGAGTCACCAACTTGGAATTGAGAACACCTGGGTTTGAATCCCATCCAGGCTGGGGGCAGGGAGGGGAGGGTGCAGTTACTTATCTGCTCTGGACCTTCACTTCTTGACCTTAAAAATGAAGTGACTGTTCAGGTGAAATTATCTCTAAGGTCCTTTTGGTTTTATGAAATCAAATCTATTTGAACACTACTCTGAACTGTTGATCATACATTTCCAATAATATTCTTTAAACAGTTTCCCTCTTCAGCATAGGCGAACTAGGTCTTCTCTCATTCAATCTCTGGTCCTTGGTGAAATGGAGATCTTGGTCTTCTTGGTTGCTCCAAACAAGCTCTCTTCGTTGCTCCAAGTACAGCCCCTCCCATCTTGTCCCCAGCCTATTTTGGTACAAGCCATCTCTCCACATAGCTCCCTGAACTGGCTATTCCTAGATAGTTGGATTCAGTGACCAGAAATAACTTCAATAAATCCCTTCACAGCTCCAGCCACTCTTCTTTCTCCCTCTTAGCTTCACTTCCTCCCCAGTTCAGGCCAAACTCCAGGGTTCATGACGTCAGCCACTCTTCAGCCAGCATCCCAGTGTTCTTACCCTCTGTCCTTCTGCTATCCACCTGGTAGTTCTCCAACTTTGGCTTAGCCAGCCATCCCAACCATCTGTCTTTTCTACTCCTGCACCCAGGCTGCCAAGATGGCTGCAGGAAAACATGCCATCAGGGCCACACACGCCTATCTCCTCCAGCCTTGGAAATTTACCCTCTACTTCTGAAAATGAAGCTCCCGCACCTTTCCCCTTCCATGGCTATTTCACACCTTCTCCATTTCCTCAAGCCCCCTTCTTCCTCTCTGCTACCACCTTCCTCCTGGAAAATAGCCTTGCTAGGAAGCAGTGGTTAAGAAGTTAAGCTCTGGGCTGGCCGGTTGCTCAGTTGGTTACAGCACAGCCTTATAACACCAAGGTCAAGGGTTTGGTTCCCCAGCCAAAAAAAAAAAGAAGATAGGCTCTGATGAGACCGGGGTAGGGAGAAAATTGCAATCAAATTCTGAACTCTCTTCGGCAGGTTTGTTTATGTGGTGGTATTAAGTGAAATGATTCTGAAGATATTTTAGATGTATTATGATTTAACAAATGAATAAATGTGTTGATTTTGTTAAGAGCCAGGATTCTCGCTCTGGAAGAAAAATCATACAAATATTTAATGGAGGTCACAGGTTTGGATCCCCGTACTGGCCTGCTGCCAAAAAAGTTTAACAGCGGGAAACAAGAAAAAAAACCCTATGGGAATGGATTGGAACAGGAGATATCAGTGCGAACTCATGATTTCTACAATATGTATATGTATGTATATACATATGTATGTTTATACAAGTATATATGTGTGTGTATGTATATTCATATATGCATATACATGTGTATGTATATTCAGCTCTATTAAAAGAGCCTGAAATCAAATACTCCCCATAAGCAAATTTTGCACTGAGATCTTGGTCTCTAATACCATTCCCCACTGAAAGGAATTGGGGTTTATTAGAGAAATGGCTGATTTCCAGGGCTGAGGCATTGCAGATATGACATAAGGAGCCGGGAATGTTCTGTTATGCCAAAAAGTATTGAAGTACTTAAAAATTGGTGGCATGTCACAGGACAAAGGAACCAGCTTGAAGGGTCTCCCACTAGCCAAACCTGGGATATTAGGCACAAAAATGGTTAAGGACATTAATAACTTATAACCCATTGAAATGAGTTTTTATCAAATGAGACAGAGAAAGGAGAAGGGAGGGCTCTTGCTCAAGCAAAATGAAGCTGAGGGCCAATCGTGAGTGTGGAGGGAGTGCTGGAGTTGGGAATTCATTATTTTGCAACCATTGTAGTAAAATGCATCAGGGAAGAATCATCTATGGGTGCTAAATTTAGGAGGAAATATGGGGAGCAGGATACTTGCGTGGTTTGAAAGTGTCTCCACCCAGATTGCTTATTAGTTGGAAAGGGAAAAATAATGACTATATGATGGAGCAATTGAATACCACCTTAATCAGGTGGTCATTTAGGGGCAGATAGACATACTGTGCCTTTTGATGTGAAGCCTGAGAAGGACACATCACTTATGTAGTATTCTGGAAATACATACGCTGAATCTAATCATGAGGGAACATCAGTCAAAACCAAAATTAGGAACATTCTACCCTAAAGAATCTAGACTCGTGTCATGATGTCTGGGTTCAAAGGCTGGTTCCGCAGGCTTTATGACTTTAGGCAAGTTACACTCTCAAAGACTCAGTTTCCTCATCTGTAAAATGGTAATACTAGCAGGACCCACCTTTCAGGGTTGTTGGGAGGACTGGACGAGAGAAGGCACGTAACGCACATAGTGAAGTACCCCCACAGAAGGCACTCAGGGTGGTTAGCACGTATCAGTCTTGTCCACCCTGACTTCTTTCCCTTTGTTCTTAGAGAAAAAAAGTGCCTAGCTTTGGGTTTAAGGCTAATCTTTCCACTTTATGCTTCATTTCCACCTCCCTGTTTATCTTCCCAAACTTTCTGTATTGCCCTATCCTGTCTTTCTCCCTCTCTGCCAGCAACTTCCCTGTGGCCTAAAAACATGCCGAGCTTCTCCCATCTTTAAAGAGAGCACAAAACCCTCAACCATGTCCTTGTAAAACTTCCATTCTTTATTGTCTCCACTTCGTCCCTTCTAAAAGTTCTCCCCTCCCTTAATAATAGCGACCATTTATTGTAGGCCCATTATGTGTCAAGAGCTTTGCCTTCCATGGGAGAGAGCTATTATGTCTCTGTTTCACAGGTGAGGAAACGTGCACTCAGTGAACATTTGAACTTAGAGCCGCCTCTGCCTAGAATTGTCCAGTTCGGCAGCCACTCACCGCAAGTGCTATGCAGCACTTGAAATAGGACTGGTCCAAACTGAGATGTGCTGGACGTGTAGATACAAGCCAGATTTCAAACACTTAGTACAAGAAAACGAAAGACTATAAAAGATCTCATTAATATTTTTATATTGATAACCTGCTAAAATAATATTTTGGATGTTTTGGGTTAAATAAAGTGTATTATTGAAATTAATTTTTACCTGTTTCCTTTTACCTTTTTAATGTAGCTACTGAAAAGTTGAAATTACATATGTGGCTGGCATATTTCTACTGGACAGTACTGTTCTGGAGTATTTACCGCACAACACAAGAAGGCCTCTTGTCTTCCTGACACCACTTGTCTTAGCTCCTAGATTGTGCCCCTGGGCTGTGGGGCTTTTCTCTCTACATACCCCACCTCTATGATGTCAGCCCGAGGCGCGGGAGCAACGCCGAGGGTTGCGATCCCGTTGCCTGTCCCCGGTCCGGTACGGGGCAACACTGAGGGTTGCGATCCGTTGCCGGACACGGAAAAAGACAAAAGACAAAAAAAAAAAAAAAGCCATGCCCCAAGCCTCACCCTGTGCCATCCACAGGGGACCCTGAAGTGGCTCCTGACAGTCCTTGCCTTTGAGGAGTCACAGTGGAGACACAGACAAGGAAACTCACCTGCACAGAACTGCTGAAGTTGAAGGGGCCACACTGGGCCGGTGGGCGGGGGGAGTGGCAGTCAGGGCCGGGGCACAGCCAGCATCTGACATGGCCTGCGATCAGAGCACAAAGGCTTGTCAGCCTAAAGCTAGGGAGCTCAGGGGGCCCCAGAGAGCAGGGGAGGCCACCACTCGGAAGCCACCCATGGGCCCTTAGTGAAGTGCGGACAGTACTGTGCACCTGGTGGTGAGACTAGGCCCCACCCAGCGGGGATGGCAGGCTCAGCGAGGCGGGGAGAGCCATTTTGGCCAGGTCAGGGTACAAGATGAGCCGTCAGCAGGCCTAGAGAACCTAAGCTAGGTTAAAATATTGATGGAAAAAGCACCTCTTTATCTCTGGAAAAATCCCTGGGCCTTGCTATCCGAGAAGTACACTCATATCTTGCAGATGAGTAAGCACTCCTTGGCTCCTGCCGTGCCTCCTGGCAACAGCGTGTTCCAGCATGGGGATTGTGCCAAGGATGGGCAGTGCCAGCTGTCAGGCCTGCTGTGGCCTCTGCTGTCCTTAACCCTGTTGACCACAGGAACACGCTCTTCACCCTGGCCAAGCAGAGCAGGGCACTGGGCGCTTACAAGCTGGCCCGGCATGCCTACGACAAGCTGCGGGGCCTGCAGATCCCTGCCCGGTTCCAGAAGTCCATTGAGCTTGGCAGCCTGACCATCCGCTCCAAGCCCTTCCATGACCGTGAGGTGAGGGCACGACCCCCTTGGGCAGAAGGCTTCTCCTCCTCCTCTCCTCTGTGACAAATTCTGATGACTTCTTGCCTGGCCCAGGTTCCACTTAAAAGGTGGCTGCCATGCTTACCCCACTGCCCACCCCCCACAAAGCCTTGGCTTGCCAGCGCCTGCTCTTCCCTGCCCACCGCCTCTGGTCTCCACTCAGCCGGCTGTGCTCCAGCTCACAGCCCCCAAGGCCTGCATCCCTTGTGTCCCAGCCCTCCCCTAGGCTCCTGCTCTGTGCCTGGGCTCCCTCCACACCTCCATGCCTGGGAACCTCTACCTTCACCTCAGGCTTGCCTGCAGCACTGGCCCTCGTGCTAGGAGGCCCTGCCCTGCTCCACCCCATTTCTGGAACCAGGTTATGGCTCTGCAGTAAGTCTACCATATAGTTTCTGCAGCTTGGGTCTGTGCCCCAGCCTGCTGTCCCCCAACCCAGCCAGCTGCTGTCTCTTTCACAGTCTCCCCCTTCAAGCTCAGAGCAGGGACTTGGCATCAGGCAGACCTGGGTTTGAGTCCCAGCTCCACCATTTCCTAGCTATGTCTCAATCTTTCAGGTCCTCAGTCCCCCCCCCCGCCCCCATCAGATGGGGACACGTGTGATACCTTTCCCACGGGTGATTGTGAGGCTAGATGAACCAGCACAGGTAATGTGTTTAGCACAGTGCCTGGAGCATAGTAAGTAGCCAGAAAATGGTGCCTGGGGTTGTTGTCATTCTGCCAGGAGAACAGTCCTCCTGAGCCCTGCCTGTGGAGGAGGCATCTGGGGCAGTGGGCCACGAATGACAGGGTCTCATATTTCTATAGACCTTTTTCCTGCTTCCCCACAGCACAAAGCCACCTGGGCCCAGTGCCCTGTCCCCGCCCACCCAGGGGGCTCTTCCTCTTGGCAGCCAGGCACAGGGGGACCAAAGCCAGAGTCCAGGGGGATGAGGGAGAGGAAGATGTGTGCCCACTCCTCGTTTGGCCCCTGGGGCAGTCTGTGGCACTGGTGTCTTTGCAGGAGCTGGTGCCCTTGTGCTATCGCTGCTCCTCCAACAACCCGCTGCTTAACAACCTGGGCAATGTTTGCGTCAACTGCCGCCAGCCCTTTGTCTTCTCCGCCTCTTCCTACGGTGGGTCCTGCTCCTGCACTGGGGCTGGTGCCAGCCACCTTGCTCCACTTCCTGCTGGCCACAGGACACTGGGGAATGCCCCAAGGCCTCCGAGTGTCCGCATTTGTGAAATGGGTCCACCGGGATACCCACCCTGCCTGACACATAGAGACACTGTCAGGGTCCCCAGAGATAGGAGCCAGTGCTGCCCCAACCTGAAGCACCCAGCTCCTGGAACCTGGCACAGGGCTTTGCATAATGAAATGCCCCAGGATAGAGGCCAGTGGCTGTGTGGTCCATCTGGGAGGCCAAGATGGGCCCTCACGTCCCAGATCTTTCAGTGTTGACGAAGAATCAGACAGTCCTTGTGTCTTCCCAGAGAGGAGCCCACCCAGCTACTGGTAGAAGGGAGGCTACAGGCCCAAGGTTCGCGTGCGCACACGCAGCAGGGCAGCCCCCATAGCAGAGGCCAAGATGGGCCCTCACGTCCCAGATCTTTCAGTGTTGACGAAGAATCAGACAGTCCTCGTGTCTTCCCAGAGAGGAGCCCACCCAGCTACTGGGAGAAGGGAGGCTACAGGCCCAAGGTTCGCGTGCGCACACGCAGCAGGGCAGCCCCCATAGCAGGGCAGCCCCCGCAGCCTCCACTTGCTGGTGGATTGGGGAGGAATTCCAGTCACCCCACCTGCCCAGCCCTGCTTGCCCCTATGAGTCCCAAGCTCCCCCATGAGGCCACCATCCTCCTCAGCTCTTCCCTGTGCCCTGCAGAGGTGCTGCACCTGGTTGAGTTCTACCTGGAGGAGGGGATCACTGACGAAGAGGCCGTCTCTCTCATTGACCTGGAGGTGCCAAGACACAAGCAGGAGAGCAAGTGGCAAGAGACCATGAGCGACAGTATCCTGTGCACTGGGCCACTGCTGGGCCCTGCCTTGTGGCCCCAGAAAGATTAAAGAGCCCCACATGGCAGCAGGGCTGGGGGGCCAGAGATGGGCAGGGCAGAGAGCTGACCAGAGCCTACAGACCCAGAAGTGGCAGGTGGCATGGGGCTCCTGGGTCTAGCCCTCACTTTGTTTCCTTGAAGGTCCCTACCCACCCCTGGCTCCTGAAAGGTGCTGGCCATGCTTCCTGCTATGCACAGCTAAGTGGCCAGCATGGTATGTGATGTCCACATCAGTGGCCACCAACTCTTCTGGTCAGGTCACTTTTATACATGCAAGCAACCGAAACCACAACTCAGAGAGAGACTGAACAGACAAAAGGGTGCAGAGAAGCCGTGCAGTACCTGAAGCTCAGGAGACCCAGCTGCCACCCGCGCTGTCGGAGGCTGTCTGGTTCTCTCAGCTCTGCCGTCCTCTGGGTCGCTTCATTGTCAGGCAGCACCACCGCTTCCCTACAACATGGGGACAGGGACAGCCACCAGCAGTGCTGACCCCGCATCCCACCAGCCTAGCAGCCCCCAGAAATAGCCGACTCTCCTCCCAACCATATCAGCAAATTCCCCAGGGCATACCTCAGCTTATTCCTCTGGCCAAGAGGGTGGACAGTGGTAATTGTCCAGTTCGGGTCCTGCTCTCACACCGTATCCCCACAAGGAACACATGCACACATCACCTGGGGCTTGTTACCACATGGCAGCCAAGTCAGCAGCTCTGATGGGACTGAGGGTCTGAATTTCTAGCAAGCTCCCAGGTGATGCCACTGGTCCACAGACACCATTTTGAGGAGCAGAGGTGAGGAAAACCCAGAGAGTTGCTTGCTGAAGGGAGACAAAATCCATGTCTGCCACATTGCTCACTGCAGGCGCCACCATCTGCTCAGGTGTGGGTGGGCCATGTCCCCTTCCTGACTCACTGGGACCTTCCTTTTGGGAGCCCCGCCTGCCTCCCCTCAGGTCAGCTCCTCCTCCACTGCCTTGGCAAGTCTTCACATGGTGGGTGGAGGGTGGGGTTTATTTCCTGCTTGGCCACAGGTTCTGTCTTTGACCAGACACTCCAGATGCCCAGACTCTGAGGCTGGACGAGACCATGGACTGCACAGGTAGCAATGACCCGTTCACGGCAAAGCTGAGCTTTGAGGTGAGGGCACCTCTCTGAAGGCTGCAGAGACACAAGGCCTGTTGGGAGGGTGGTCTCGGGTCCCTTCTGTGGACATGGCCAAGGAGGACTGACCACAACTTACAGATGTGGTGGATCAAGGGAGCTGGGGTCTGTGGACAGGGAGTAGCTTGTCACCGTCAGGGCTGCCTGGGGATAGGAGGTGGTGGGTCCTGCCCGGCCACCCCCAAAGATTTCGGATCACGATCCACATAAACGTTCCCCATGGCTGAGTGAGGGCCCCATGCCCTGTTTCCTGCCCACCCCGCGCTGCAGCAAGGTGGCTCGGAGTTCGTGCCCGTGGTGGTGAGCAGGTCAGTGCTACGCTCCATGAGCCGCCGGGACGTCCTCATCAAGCGCTGGCCGCCACCCCTAAAGTGGCAGTACTTCCGCTCACTGCTGCCCGATGTCTCCGTCACCATGTGCCCCTCCTGCTTCCAGGTACCGTGTCCACTGCCAGCAGCCTACACTACCTTCCAGTGTCGTCTTCCTGCCTCTTTTCACTTCCCCACGTGCCTCCTGGGGAGGCCAGGCACCTGGGGGGAGGAGCACCAGTGAGCTCTCCCAGGCCAAGGCCGTAGCCGCCACTCCAAGTTGGGAGAAGGCATTCGGCTGTCCTCAACCAAGCCCCAGCCCTCCCTCTGCATTCTACTTGCCATCTAGCATGGACTTCATCTGACCCTGCCCTTTCCCCACCTGCCCTGAATCTGGGAGGGCTGGGCACTCATCGTGGGCCTTTGACCTTCACTTAGGAAAAAGGGGCCTCAGGCTCCCTCTCCTCCCCTCTCCTCGCCTCCCCATTACTCAGGCAGAGGTGCTCCAGGGCTGCTCTTTGGGGCCCTGACTCACCACCAGGCCACCTCCCCTCGGCAGGGTGTCGCGCCCCAGGTTCAGGGCTGACACAGCTCCCGCCTCTCTCCTCAGATGTTCCACTCAGAGGACTACGAGCTGCTGGTGCTCCAGCACAACTGCTGCCCCTACTGCCGGAGGCACATCGATGACCCCAGCCCGTGACCAGCGCCCTCAGGGCCACGTGCTTCTCGCAGGCCGCTGGGCTGTGGAAGGGAAGAAAGAGTTAAACTGTCAGAATGTGTCTCCTGCCTAGATGAAGTTTGTATTTTAGGGTGGGGCCTTGTGTAACCACGAATTCCTATTTATGGCATTTCATGCCTTGTAAATAGCACCAGGAGATGGGGAAGAGAATGTACATAGATTTTCTAAGGAAAAAATCTGTTACTTTCAGAACGGCTCCGAGTTGCTCGTGGCAGCCTGCTGGAGTCCGCAGATCTGTCAGACCGTTAGCATGCACGCTCTGCCGACAGATTGCCTCAATAATGACAAGTAAAGGGGCTACTTATTTTCATCAGTGTCTGCGTTTTAGCAAATCTTCGTATTGTCTGCAACTTAATTTCCTTATGCAAAAGTGCACCTGTTTCTAATTTGATCCGAAAGGAACATTACATTTGTGTGCTCTTAAAATTTAATCTAATCGAAATGGCAATATAGGAAGGGATGGAGGGGCGGGTATTTTTTTTATTTATTTTGGTTTAATGGGGATGTGTCTTGACAAGAAAATAAGATACCTGGCTCCAGAGAAGATGGCAAAGAGGATGAAATGAAGGCTTGTGGTCTGGTCGAGGGCTCCTCCCTGAGGTTCTGGGGCCACCTGCCCTCCTCCGTCCACCTGCCCCAGCCCCACAGAGGGTCCCCAACCCTCCAGCTCCTTAAGCAGGCGGGTTCCATTTGAGATTGCACACTGCTAAGGTCCCTTCCCTTGGGCAGCAACAGGATCCAGCACAGCAGCTCTGGGGCATGGAGAAGGTAGCAGCTGGGAAGCTGGGGAGTAACTCTGTGTGTTGGGGACCTTTCTGCACCAGCCACGTTTCATATGTTGTCTCACTTCTCACACCAGCCCTGTGGAAGAAGGTTATGGTTTCCAGCAATGGGACTGGGAAGGGGGGAGGTGCTTGGGCCCAGGGAGCTCCCCAGCCCTGAGGGGACCCCCTTCCCTGCCCCCCATACCTGCCCAGGAGGTAGTGAGCAATGCGGGCTTTATGCATAGCCAGAGAGCAGCTGGGTAGACAGGAGAAAAGGATTGGCTGTTGGGGACTGTGGTGAAAACCACCCCTCAGGGTTAAATACTGATTCCTTACAGCTCCTCTGTGAAGAGGGCAGGGTGAGACAAATGTGCCCATGGCAGGGATGAAGACACTATGACCTAGAGAGGGGGAGCGGCTGCAAGGTCACCCAGTAGAAAGTAACAGAGCTGGAGCCCCAACCTAGGACCCCCATCCTCACCCAAACTAGCCCCTCCCCCCACCCCCCTCTGCATCTCTCTTTGGAGATGATGGAGGAAAAGAAAGGGAGCCAGACAGTTGTGCCAACAGAACTCCTCCGTTGAGTGTCTAATTACTTACAATCATGCATGCTCGCTCCCTTGCTAAACATTTATTAATGTGTTAGGATTTCCATCAGCGCAGTTACTTGAACTGAAATCATTTGCATATGGCTGGGAAAAAGAGGGGAGAGGAAGAAAACAGCTCCAGCTACCCAACAGGCATCAATCACAGTGACAGATCAGATGGTGGCTGGCTAGAGGCAGGGGGAGGGGCCTGCCTGAGACTCCAGCCGAATGACAGAAAAACGAGAGAGAGGGTGCCGTGGCACAGGGCACCTGAGCTCCGAGGCCTGCATCTGAGCATAGCCCTCACTCAGTCAAGCACTTACTGAGGGCCAGACACCATGCTTAGCACTTTCCACACTTCTCCATGTCTAATCCTCCACGGCTTACAAGGCCGCCCATTATGCAGGTGATGAAATTGAGGCTTAGCAACATTCTTCTTTCATTCAACATATATTTGTTGAGCCGAGGCAGGATTCAAGCCCAGGTGCACCTTGCACGTTAGCACTATGTTCTGCTGCTTTCCTGTCCTGACCTGGTCTGGGTCTTGACCAAGTCCATTTATCTTTTCAAGGCCTAGTTTCCCCATCTGTCCTAAAGGGCCCCCTCCAGCTCTGACACTGAGGTTCCAGCCTCAGTCTGTGTCTGTGAACAGGGCTCGATGATTACCCTGATGACCCTGACCACCGCTCACATGCCTACAACCAGGAGGGCCCCACAGGGATGTGGAGATGCCCATTTAGCTGACAGTAGACTGAGGCCCAGAGAAGAGTGGCTGCCTGAGGCTGCACAGCTTGGAGTGGCTCAGGCTGGAATTTGTTCCTGATCTGTCTCCAAGTGCTCAGCCTTGTAACCACGTTCTTGGAAAGAGGAAGGAAGAAGAGGATTGGTTGGCATTGGGTGGATCTGACTCCAGCCCAGCCTCAGCCAGCCAGGTATTCATGGGCCTCGGTTTCTCATCTTTCCCCAGCAAGGTTCCCAAGGCCAGGAGCCCCTGGCAGCTCTTGCACAGATGCCCCTTCTCCAAAGTCACTGCTGCGTCTCTTCCCTGGCACAGCGTCTGTGTGCTGGTGGCAGAGGCTGGGCAGGCAAGAGCCTTGGCAAAGAAGCCACCACTGGGCAGTGCTCTTACCCTGGGCCAGGCTTAATCCCAGGACTCCCCAATCCTCCTCCACCCAGACTTCAGAATGTCTTCCTAGAGTGCACATCTGATCATGCCCCTCCCCTGCTGGTAACCTGCAGTGGTTCCCCACTGCCTCCAGCAGCCTCCTGGCCTGCCCTCCCCCACTGCCCTGCCAGCCAGCCTCCAGCCAGGGATGGGCTTCCACACCCAGCTGGCCCTTCCCCCTGCCCTGCCCCGGAGGCTCTTCCCTGAGGCAGCCTTCCTGGTCCACCTCCTGCTCCTCTGGGTCCCACAGCACTGGGGCTTGGGATAAATTCCCATCTCTCACGGTTATTAGTTTCCCCCTGTCTGCTGCTGCCTGAGACTGGGAGCTCCTTGAGGGCAGGTAGGATTCATCAGTGTCCTTAGCACCCAGCCTAGGGCCCGGCTCATAGAAGGTGTTTGGTAAATGCCAGGGAGGGAGGGAAGGTCTGTCTCCTTCCCTTATTCCCTCTTGACATTCTCAGCTCAGCCTAAGGCCTCCGCAGCCTTGGTGACGCAGCCAGGTGGGGCTAAGCCCTGTCAGGGAGGCCAGGCAGGAGGAGCAGGAGGAGGCGGAGGCTGCTGACCCAGCAGCGGCGCTCCTGCTGAGGTGTAGGGGCTATTTGTGCTACTGCCGGCTAAGCCCCTAATCCTCTGGCAGAGGCAGAGCCCTGCTCCTGGGCTCCAGAGGGGCTGGGGCTTGGGAACCCCAAGATGGTCTGTCTGTCTTCAGAGACAGACAACCCTGGCCCCGTCACCACCCCAGATGCTCCCCACAGCTCTTCCCCACACTGACCCAGGCTCAGAAAGCCACCCGCACTCGAGCTTGGCCATGGGTGGGGTGGGCTCCAGGGACCCCCTGGACTGCATGACACAGGAGACAAGGAGCTCAGGCTAGGGATGCTAAGGAGACTTAACCTCTGAGCCCCAGGTTCCTCCGGGTCAGAGAGGAGTGAGACCCCCCTCAACAGGGGTCAGGAGGGCTTGCTCATTCACTGACAGACACTGCCTGAGCACCTGCTATGGGCTGCGGGCTGTGAGGCAGCAGCAGCAGGCCGGGCCTGCGTCTGGAGAGCATCAGTCCATGCACAGACCGTAGGACCCAGGCCACAGCGAGAAGCTTGTAGAAAATGAGCATGGAGGGTGGGGCTCTGGTGGGTAGGATGGTCGGGTGGGGGGAGGACCTGCAAGGACCGGAGTGGGAGCTGAGACCTGAAGGACACAAATGTCAGCAACATGTAGCAATCACTCACCGGCTCTCCCAGCAGCCCTGGAGGTCAGCCCAAGTGTCATCCCCATTTCACAGAGTAGGGAACTGAGGCCCAGGGAGGGAGGGAGCAGCTGTGCCGAGGCTGCGAGGCCTCCTGCAGACATGAGGGCAGGTGTAAGGGGCCGTGCCAACTCCAGGAGACAGTGATATCTACACTGCAGGGTCTGAAGGTCCGTGAGCTGGGCCTGTAAATGGAAGTGGGTCCCCGAGATTTCCTAGCCCCAGCAAACTGAGGCCCAGGAGGGGAAATGGCACCTTCTGGGCTCTCATGGTGACTGAGAGACACAGGGTAGAATCCAGTGCCTCCCCCCTTCCCTCGGGGCTTCCACTTTCCGCCCCAGGCCTGTGTGACTCCTCTAGGCCTTTCCACCACCCCAGCAAACCCCTCTTCAGTCATTTATATCATAATGTGAACAACTGGCTGGTCTCCCTAAGAGCTGTCTTTGATGGAGGGGACGGGAAGGTGGTACCCCATGAAGCCGCGTTGTCTATGTGAGTTACAGCCCATGCTGTCACTGATTTGTCATGTGACTAGGTGACCCACTGTGGACTCTGGGCCTCAGTCTCTCCATCTGCAAACTGGAAGCTACAGGGAGGGTCAGAATAGGTGAATTCTAATGACCCTTCCAGCTCACTCTGAGCCTGTCGCTCTGAACAAAGAGTATTTTTGGTCTAAAAAGAAATGCTTTGTCATGCTTTACAGAATACAGAGCACCATCACCTCAGCCTTGGCCTTTCATCCACCATCACCACAGCCCTGTGAGGTTGGGATTGTTAACCTCTCACAGAGGAGGAACCCGAGATTTAGGAGAAGTACTTACTGGGATAATCTAGATCCACTCACTCACTCACTCGTTCATTCAACTAATATTCACTGAGCACCTTCCACGTGCCCGGCTCTTGGGAATACGTCAGTGAACAAAGCAGAGACCGCAGCTGTTTCTAGTGCAGGGAAAACAATTCACTATACTCCTGCTACTTGCCAGGCACTGAGCTGGGCTCTGGGGACTCGCCCTCATGGGCTCATAGTACAGCCCAGGAGATGGGCAGAAACACATGAACAGAGCACAAATTAAAAGCTTCCAAGCTGTCATCAGGATCAGGCGACAAGCAGGGCGTGGAGGTATACTGAGCTGTGCGAGGGTCGGGGGCTCAGCCCGCCAGGGCAGGCTGGGTGTGGGCTGGTCTTGACCTGGGGCATCTGTATAACCCCCGCTGTGTGGCCACCAGGGTCTGTGTCAGAATCAAACTCTCCACCTTGAGCTCATCAGCATTGGGCCTCACAACCTGGCCAAGCACCCTAGACTGAGAGGCCACACTCACCACCCCCTGTTCCTCAGCCACTGGGCCCTGACACCGCCCAGGACAGGCAGGGCCCTGGAACACAGGTGGGCTGGAGGACAGGGGCACTTTTCTGAGAAGACAGATCTAGGAATCCCAGGTGGGAAGAGAGACTGGGCCAGAGAGAGCTTATGGGACCAAAGTCTGGGAGACAGGGACACTTTCCTGGGTGGCCATCTGTCCCCAGCCTCAGGACCTTTGCACATGCTGT